AATTCAATAAAACATCTGTGACAGAAAGAGTCGATTTAATAACCGCAATAACATTTCCCACTCCAACCCAGCTCCTTCCTCAGACGTCAAATTCAGGTTTCTGTGCTGGCACTCACACCAGTTTAATAGCACAAGGGATTGCTTCATAAGATCAGACAAGCACAGTAAAACTAAAGAAGGCTTAATGTTCAACTCAACTTGGTTATCCATCATGAAAGGGGGATGAAGCACACTGTTGTCTGTTTATGAGCCTGCAAGGCTAAGAGTGTGGGATGGCTGCCCTTCCTACTCTGCATATGCCAGCACTGTGTGTGTGTGTGTGTTGTGTGTGTGTGCGTGTGTGTGTGTCTGTCTTTCTTCACCATGTCCTCTGATCTGCTGCCAAGGGCCTGCAGCTTTCTCTCTCCGTACATCCTACTCATTCTCACCTTTCTCCATGTTCCCTTCTGCCTCATCAAATGCTTTCTTACACGCTGAACATTGAAAAACAGGGACACTGACCGATTTAATGTAGATATAGTGCACTGATGAGGTGAGTCCAGGTAAATGCCTCATTGGTATATTTTATTAAATCTATACCAGTTAGAAAGGAGATGTAAATTAAAGTATGATGACCAAATCTCAAATACAATGCATTCTTAACACTGACTATAAGCACACAGTAAAACATTAGCTGATTTGTATGGTATGGAGAGAGAGACAGCAGGAGGGAGACAGAAAATACGGCCTATCGCTCTCAGCTCCCTAGCTCTGCCTTTCTACTCCTCATACTGGGTTGCTATGGAAACGGCTCCCTCAGAGGTGGTCTGGCCATTTTATTTCGGGTCTCACCATCAATGCCGCCTCTTCAACAACAAAATAATTACTTGTCATCCTGGTTCTTTAATCCCCGTGATTTCTTTCAGGTCAGATGAGCGACCGCCTGCTTTGGCCTTCATGAGGTTACAGAGAGCCCACAACAAAATGAGGAATAATCTAATTTGACTGTAGACGACCTAAAAATACTATCAACTGTAGTCTTTTTCTGTGTGCCCTACTGTGTTTGTAACAAGAAACTATGCAAGAAACTGTGTACTTCATTCATTGGAAATTCAGGGCCTGGTTCTGAAAATCAATGTATTTCCTACTTAGAAAAATAACTGAGGAATAATAAGGAATAGCTGTCCGCATAGAGACGTTGTTGCTAAGCAGTCAAGCTAGCAGTGAACTGTGAATGCAGCAGTGAATTTACAGCTCAGGCTACAGTTCATGCTACAGTTCATCAGTGAACAAATGCGCAGTTACTCGACAACCAAGCCTAGCACCAGAGTTTTGTCTGCCAACTGACGAGTAAAGTGACGGGGGGTTGTTCCCAAACTTAGCTACAACTTCAACCCTGGAGAGGTCTCCCCTGTGCTTCCTAAGAATATGCACACTGTTAATTAGTTCACACTAATTTATAACTGCAACCGTTTGGCCGGATTGACCTTGACAGGCATTAATGTTTCATGATACAGAGAGAGAACTGCTGACACTAATGTCCAAACGAGTGGCGGACACCAGACATGTGTCCTCTCCTGACACTTTTACAGAACAAACCCTCTGTGTGTTGTCAGGATGTGTGATTTTCTATTTATTTTTTGCTACTGCACACTTTTTAGTTTTCTTTTTTTATGTTTCAGAAAGGGAAATTCAATAAACGGAAGATACATCAACCAGAAAACCTCCCTAGATGGTTACACTACTGTTCCTGATACTATGAGGTTTGACATTTAATCTTGAGCTTTGTTGCATCAGAAACTATACTTATTTTCCCTTTTGTCTTCCTGGTGTTGATAAAAATGTGTGTGTGGGTGATTCCCCAGTCTGCCTCACACACCAGCCTTTCAGCAGGCTGTATTTTACATGAAGACCATTACTTGCCTAACCCACATTTATCCCTCCAAAGGAAGGAAACAGCATTAGGCTAGAGAACACTTCTGTAGGCACTCTGATGTGTCCTGTTTGGTTTCCAGTTTCAATGCCCAGATTATTTTTATTTTATAGCTTAATAAAACAAAACATGTGATAAGAATTACTTGGAAATATTGCTTCCGGTCCACAATGAATGCGATTTTCATCTTTCTTTATCTCGCCAAACATGTTTATTTGTTCTATGATGCCTGTAAAGCAGACAATAAAAAGGCCTACATGTGGAATTATAAACATTGTTATTAGGATTTAGTATAAGAGGCTTACCACTTTTTTAAAACTGGGGTTGCAGGGGGCAGTTATCAAGACACAGACCGTTGCGCAACAACGTAGGGAAAGAACACTGGAAATGGGGGCAGGTAAGAGTGATAATGGCAAAACACACCACAAGGAGCGTTTGATAAGCGACACTGAACTTTGGCGACCATAGCAGCGCTTAAAAGAGATTTAATTCAATTGTGTTTCATCCATTGTGAATTTAGCCTTCATGAGAAACTATTTTTTTACAGTAGGTCCCACTTTCTATTTTAAATAGCGTATATATCATTCTGAAATGAACCCTCTCAAGTGTAGAGACAGAGATCGAAGGACAGCACGATTTGAAAGGAAGAAGGAGGGAAATGGAGTAAGCCAGTCTGCTCGTTATCAGCGGGCTCCAAAATGGCCCTTTAATTAAAAGAAGGAGGTAATGAACACGCTTGGGAGTCTGATTAGCAGCTAATGCCCCTTGCTGTGAGCTGATGGGATCCCCCATCTGCCCTTTTAAAGCTAAACTAAATGGCTCTGACTCAGTACTAGAAGCCACAAACCACAGCAGCACACCAGTTACCTCTGTATTAAAAACTATAACACCTTGGGATTCACAATGTGGCCTAGATATTGAAACTGTACAAGTGTTATTAATGAATAGGTATGTTTGGACTAAGTTTTGTTTACGTTATTTAGCAATAATCCTGGAGGTTACACACATGGTATAGTAATAGTGAAAAATTATATATATATATATATTTATTACAACTTTTAAAATGGATATAAGCCTTGAACTAGTGGTATCATTTCACTTTAAGGACTTATCTACACTGGAACACTCATCCAATCCTTGAATTTTTAAATGCCCTTGATCTAGACACTTAACTCATATCTGCTCCAACAGAGCTCCTCAGTAGTGAGTGGGTTGAAAAAAAAAAAAGAGAAAAAAATACTCAATTTGTAGTGGGAAGCTTCAAGTGTGAATGTATGCATTTTCTGACCAAAGAGTTCCAGGAACTATAAGAGCACAGGAGCTTAACCAGGAACTAAACTAGGAACTAAAAAGTCCCTTTTGTGTTTCCACTGCATCTGAAGAACAAATACAATTAGGCAAATTTTATCAATGTTTGATTAAAAAGTGAACACAGCACTTAAAATGCAAGAAATAACTCTGAATCAGTGTAATGAATGACTAAAAAAGGAGACTGAAAACATCTTAACCTCTAAGGTAGTGATTGCTAACCACAGGTACTTGTACCACAGTGGGTACTCCAGCAGTTGGCCGGGGCTACTTGGAAAAATTATAGAGTGGCTCAGTTAATTAGAAAAAATAGAAAATATGTTTTGATTAGAAAAAATACCCATGTATTGTGCCTGTAAACGAGAAGGCAAGCTAGCACAGAAGCCCAAAAGGGTTAGGTTAGCGTTCCAGCTTGTGCCACTGGTACAGTAGGAGTACAAATGCACTTGACCAAACCAACCTAGACATTAGTTAAATTGCCTGAAAAAATTACTGCTTTATACTGAATAATTGATAGTGCGGGTACTTTAATTCATCTGACAGGGCTGTGAGGTAAAAAAAAAAAAAAAAGTTTGGAAATCACTGCCCAAGGGCTTGCTGAGTGTTTTATGATAATTTATTTCTGCTTTAAATGCTAAATAGTCTGTACTTTGTATCGTGCCTCTCTAGTCTTCCAACCACTTAAAGCCCTTTTACTCTACATGCCACATTCACCAGTTAAGACACATTCATACAGTGATGGTAAAGGCCATCACAAACAGAAGCTAAGTCGTTCATACACACCTCCTGAGCCACAGCTGCCAGAATGAAACCACGTAACCTACCCTGTGCAAATACTGCATGATATATCATTGCTAGCCACTCAGCTGTATTGACATCTACAGTATCTAAAGCCAATGAGGTCGAAAACAAAGCCAAGTTGAACAAACCACTGGCTGACTGGCTTACTGACGTAACCGTATTTTCAGTATAAGATCGTTAGTCAGTTGAGTTCGGCTTATTATTCAATTCTACACGTCTTCATCACACAGTCTCCTGGTGTGAGGAGGCCTTTGCATGTTACATGAAGACAATTCTCCCCTGTAGATTCTATTATCATTTCACTAAGTTACTCTAAACATCTAAAAGAGTCAGTTGTATCTGGAGCGACACAGTCTGAAACATACATGGTGTCGGCTGAAAGCTCATCAAGGCGCGGGCAGTAATCCAACCATCCATGGCATGCCAAACAATGTGCAAATCTCTCCAAGACTCTAAGTCGTTTTTGTCTAGGATACAGTAATCCCTTGGTCTCTGTGCCGCAGTGTGAGCATGTATTTGAATATATTAAAACTCCATGGAGAGGGCGATAAGCTGAATTTGAGCTCCTAAATCAGACTGTTATTAAGTTTCCTATGAAAGTTTTACCCAAGGTTGTTCAAAAGAGTTTCACTGCAGAGCTCTCAGAGGTCTGAAAATTGGTTATCTTTGGTGTGCTGGTGTTCTTTAGCATGCTAGTCTGCCACTTTCATCTTCAGAAAGAATATATACGTATATAGCTGTGCGTACATTTGAGTATGTCAAAATGTATATGTTTGAAAAGGTGTGTGTCTGTAGGTCTTTGTATGCAGTATAGGGATGCGTTTGGTTTTTCTATATGGCAGACTATTAGAAGTCAGAACTACTTTCTCTGTGTTGTTCACTACAAACAATAACTAGATAATAAAATTCAGTGAACATGGACCACAACAATGTCATGAATAAGTGTCAGAGTATGCCAGTGAATAAGAGACTATCGTACCTTCCAGAAGTTGTCAACTTTGCCATAGACAAGTGATTGGTTCTGTCTCTTGATATCATCGATGTGCTTGATGTCGCTGGCGTTGAGGTGCTGCTCCACCACGAAGCCCAGGAAACTGTTGTCAGGGGTATGAGCTGCAGAAAAAGAAATAAATATAAATACATACAAAGACACAAAACAAAAGGCATAATTTCACCTTCAAAATGATGCGTTTAAATGTGTTTCAGCAACACAAAAGGAAGAAAAAGAGGTGAGAAAAGAGTCAGTGATCATTTCTTTGGGAATAAAATGACAAATGACTTCAGGCATAGTTAGCTATAATTTATGCATCACTGAGGCAAAAACAAAAATGCCTCAAATAAATCTTGCTCAAGTGTCTGCTTTTCAGAGTGCATACAATTCAGTTGAATAAATAAGCCCATTTGAACCTCAGCGTTGATCACAGATCATAATTCCAGAGAGACGGGAACAGTTGCACAACACAACTGGGCTTGATGATGTAGAGATTGTGAAGCCCCTTGAGGAGGAGAATTTCTGGTTTGTGATATTGGCCTATATAAATCAAATTGACTTGACATCTTGTCAAGCACTCTGGGTTTTTTGTTCCCTCTGTTCCTTTTTGCCCGGTGATGACTGAGTTACTATGGGAACCACAGGATGAGCAGGTCAATTGTGGAGCCCAGAGCTGGCAGCACTTTACCTCACTGCAATCTGCCTTGTAAACTAACACGAAGACAAGGGTTTGGAGTTTGGACAGAAAAGATTGGGTCAAAAATGTATATATTTAATAATCTAATTTATATAAATAAGGAATAGTATAAGCAGACTGAAAGGCAGACCTCATCAGCTCTTTGAATGAAACCGGCTGCGAGGGAGGTGTTTTGGTGCACAGTTGTGGTTTGTGTTAGAGCCCCGGGGAGCTGCTGTGGTCAGAGCTCGTTTTTTACCACAACGCTATTACTACAGAGGCAAATTAAGGTCAGTCAGTTGGAGGAGATGGAATTCGCTTCGGTATAGTAAATAAAAGAAAGATTTACCGAGACCAAATTTCCATAAAAAAAAATCTCAACACCCTAGCTTCAAATTAAAGTACCTGCCAGCATTTAGTGAGAATCAGCTGCTGCAAATATCAACTGGAATAATCACACCTAACTAAATGTAACAAGAAGGGAAAGAATGATGACATTTACCACATGATGGCAGGAAATCAGCTGCTGTATCATGGTTCAACTGCAGGTGATAACAGCGGAAACAATGACGGACTGTAATAGTTCAACTACGCTGAAGTAGTTTGACACAAAGGGTTGTGTTTTTATCAGGGCGGTGGCTGAAATGCGGAAAAAAGCCAATGTGTGTTCAATTGGTTTCTCCAGGAAGTCCACATATTGGGACCGGCTAACATATTTAGGCAAACAAAACATTCATCAGTCATTTCACCCTCAACTTGAAAAGGGCATGTCTTTTATACTTCCTTACACGGAGTGTACACTAAACCGGTGAAAACTCTTTACACTGTACACAATCACATGTCTCAGGGTTGCAAATCTTTTTCCAGTGCCTGTATTCAAATCTTGTTCCTGTTCTGCACTTCCCAGAATTATAATGCGTAGAGGAACCTGCTGGTTCAGTTTGTGTTATGTACGTGTAGGACAGCACAGGAATGTGGGAGTATGAAGATATCACCAGATCTGTGGAGGTGTCAGTGTGGGCAGGAGCCGAATGTTCTCAAATTACCTGCAGTGTCTCTCTAATAATGGCTGAGAAGACAATAACAATATAAATACCTTAATAACCAGGCTGATTACACTGGTTTCAAGCATTTACCATTTACGTTAATTCTTACTGAGCCTTGAAAACGTGTATATAATGTCTTCTGTGGCTCAAGTTTGAGAAAATAATCTTTTTTCGGAGACTTTTAGCACAAGTACAAGTAGTATAATCTGAGGATGAGTTTAAAAGACACGGGTATTGACATGGCAGCTTGGATCTAATGAAAGGATGAGTTGCATTATGGGAAATGGTAGGATCCTGTATTTTTAGAGCTTAGTCCATAATAAGGAGTAAATCTATATATCTTGGCCTTTGCTGTTTCAATTATTTTTAAATCTGTCTCTTCCAAATTTACAACAAAAAAATGACAACTGATTTGGGGAGTGACGAGAGAGAACACTGAACAAGTGCAAATCTTAGAAGAATGACTTTTATTGTATTTTACTTTTCTAATTATGAAATTGGTTAGTTCTACCAAGGCAATTGACTGCTCTCTTTTTTAATTAAAAAAGAAGAATTAGAAATGGCAAATATTGTGATAAGGATGGACATTTTTTGAATATAATATTTTCAGGCATAATCTCCCAGATTTGGTGTTAGTAATCGTTACATGGTGCCACAATGTGCTAATTCAAAATGTGTACCAATTGGATACACTCAAATTAATTAGAATGTTTCTAATAACTGAGATGTGTTTCTGATGGTAAAGAGGCAGAGTTGGTCCTAGGCACTGGGAGGAGGTAGCACTAACACTCATGTACCAAACTGACTGTGTAAACAGGACAGGCTGTTAATTAGTGTTCAGCCCTCTTGATGCATTTGGCAACAGATGCCTCTTCTCCCAGTAGATCCGCCACTCAAAATGTCACTCAAGTTGCCACAGCTTCATTCGCTATTAGCGAACAAACAGCCTGGGAGGACAACGTTGCTGGAGAAGCAGCTGCTTTGTCGCCCCTTGACAAACTTTAGTGGGGAACAAGTTTGCTTTTTAAGGAATCCTGGATTCACTCGGGGGGGTGTCAAAATAGGTATAGACCGACCGAAGTTGGCTGTTGATACCACCTTGCCATTGGCCAACTATTTGAGTCTGCATTCTCCTCTCGTTACACTATCTGCGTGTTACTGTTTTCAAAGTTCCCACCAATACATTAAACAACTAAAACCACTTTTGGGCTAGCAACCTACACGCTGAAAATGGCAAGTTACCACCAAAGCCACTTCCCAGCCGACACTTCTCTACAAGGGCACTCCTGCTCAAGATGATTGTTCTTGATTAAAGAAATACAAACAACCAAAGAAGTGTTTTTTTCCTCTACACCCAAATGATAATGGGTTCAGCCAGACTTTTCTACAGTGCTGGCAAAGTGCTAAAATGAAGTCTGGAGATTTGGCTTTGCGAGACGAATATTTGTACAACCTGGTTGAGCTGACTGGAAGAACAGAAAATGTCGTTAATACCGTTAAGGGCAGGATATCCTGTCTGACAGGGTCTGTTCAGGGGCTTCCTTTGTGCACTTTAAAGGGGCAGTAAAGTCTCACTGGTAGAAGCAGACTATACTACATCATCACACATTGGTACCTGCACAAGAAAATACACCAGGAAAAAAGAATCCCAAGTCATAGACTGAGGATTATGTGATTAATGCTGGCCCAACACTTGAGAAGGCAGACTCCTTTTTACAAGAAACTAACTTCTATACTGCTGGCCAGACAGAAAAACGACTTCAAACTGCATCATCAGCACTAAAATCTCCGGCACTTTGAAAACTAAACATCAAAGACTTACTGGTTCTACGACTTATCTGAATGGGCCTGAAGGGTGAAAATAAATAAACTACACCTGAAAACACTTTCACAAAAGCACCATTGAGATTTTAACTGATGAGCTTTCAGGCATCTTGAAAGATTTGAGCGTGAGGTAAACTGAATCTGGATCTACCAGGCAGTTTCTCATCACAATGATGAAAATGAAGTGTGTTTAATCTCAAAGTAATTCACTATAATCAGTAGTTAATTTAATCTCTTATTAGTAATTGGAATATAAACGTTACCATCTGCCAAAGAACTAATGATTGATGACGTGTGTCTACTATACCAGCCTGTCCTTCGATACTGCTGCTATTTAGATTCAATTCAGCATCAACAGCTGGGTTTTAAACGTGCCTATCGGGGAAATGAACTGAAAGAAACTGTTTCGCATTCTTGCCAAGAGTTAGATGAGAAGATTGATACCCCTCTCGTCACGAGTGCTACACCAACTACGGAGCTAGAGCCAGCAGCCAGTTAGCTTAGTATGCAGATGGGAAACAGGGAAACAGCCAACATGGCTCTGTCCAACGATAGCAGCACCTCTAAAGCTCACAAACATGCTAACTGCTTGCTAAGCCTCTATTGATCTTCTCATCTAACTCTCAGCAGTAACACATCATGTAAATCACTTTGGATCAACTGTGTTGTGTGTAAAGTGTTAAATAAATAAAGCTGAGCAGAGTTGAATAAGTATATTTCTCAAAATCCTGAGCTATTGCTTTAAAGTAAATGTCTGAAATACAAGAGCAACACAATTCTGAAACATATCCAAGAAGAATGAATACCTCACTAAACAGATGATTAGCATTGGTAAAGTTATTGATGGGCTTTAGTTTTAGCTAATGTTAGTCATATAACCAACATAACCATGTAACTGTATGTGACAGATAACATTTTAGGTCCAATATGTTTAATTTGTTTCTAATTGGGTAATTGTATCTTTTATTATTTGCATAAAAATACTTCAAGTTATCAACAGGTAAAATATCTTTAGAATATGTCTCATAATGCTAACTGGCTACTTTATAACAGTCAAATGATGTTAGAGTTAGTCACTGCACTGTACAGTCTTAGTGAATACCAAAACAACATACAGATGGATCAGGGAATGGAACAAAGTGGTCTTATTATGTTTCTCTACAGAGTTTCTGGTCTAAAGTATTGGAGCTCTGCAACGCTTCCATTATGCTAATCCACCGCAATCAATCAAAGCAAGCATCTGAAAGATTCAAATGGAACAGGGTAGGAACATAGTCAGAGGTGCTCAATTACAGCAAAATTACGTTCTCAATGTTCCCCCCCTGCTAGGATCACTGAACAGATGCAGGCAAGTGTTCAAGGGTGGAATATTCTTGTCTTCCACCGATGTTTTCAAAGTGTTTCATTACAAAATGTTTTCAATCTGACAAAGATAGGGTGTACAGGTAGGGCGAGATGCAACAAATTCTCCCTCTCTGCCGAGTAATTCTAGTCATTCATTTGCAAGAGCATATTTTTGTGTGAGAGAAAGAGAGAACAGAAGTCTATTGATCTCACACAGATGAAAAAAAACAAAAAACAACCTTTAGTGAGTGGGTGTGCCAGCGACATTATCAATCCAAGCTTTACAGGCACCATCAGCCTGGAAGATCTCAGGGTCAATTATGTAAAGCATAAGCAAAGGCAAAGTTTTTAAACATAAATACTACCTGCTGCTATTTTCAACCTTGTGCCAGTATTACTCATCATTTCCATAAGGGATTAAGCATTCGGCAGCAGGGATACACAACAAACTAAAATGTACATAAGAAGACATATGGTAGCACCTGCTTCTAGTGTACGTTTTCAGTAATGATGCAGACAGGCTGGAAGCAGAAGCCACCCTCAGGTTATTCTCAGCTTTCTGTGCTTATCTGATTTCATAAGTTTGAAATGGAGTCTTTAATTGCACCCAGGGTTTAAGAGACACCTGGTTAACTAAGCTGATTTCTTGGCCATTTATACGCCTAAGTTTCTAAATGAGTTTTTTTTTATAAGAACGCAGCTGCCTGACAAAGATGTCACACAGAGAAAGTATCTCTGTAACAGTAGTGCAGACGGATTAAAGTAAGGATCATTATTCATAGTCGTCCTTGTTTCCAAAATAATTAGATTAAAAAGTCTGGATAGATCTGTCTGTAGTCAGTATAGTTAATTTCAGGCTTATATCCCTTTGTAACAGACTTGTTTTTAAGCTGATGAAGTGTATAGTAAATAAATCAAACTTGACAGGGATGGAATCCTTACATGTCATTCTGACCTACAGCAAAAGTTAACTCTCTTACATTTCCTTATTATAAATGACCTCTGCTAGGAAACCAGCCAACTTAACTACAAGACGCGCAGCCCATTCAAACACAAATTGTATCCCAGAAAACACTCCCTGCTATCCCAACTGAAACTGATTAATGAGGTCAATTTGGCCTTGTCTTGTCTTATTGGCCAGAGGCCAGATGCTCCCAATTCCCCCAACCAATGATTTATGGAGCTCTGCCTAATCGTAACAAATGGACCAATCCAGATCTAGGATAAATTACCTACTAGCACCTGATTTGTCCATTGTTACGTCTACATTCCATAGGTGAGCTGTGATACAGTTAAAGTTTGGACAAGTAACTAGAACTACAATCTACACTGAATTTGCAATAAATATTATCTTGAGTTTTGCAGATTCTTAAGCAGTTAACTCCACCCATTGTAAATCTAAGCTGACAAACACACCTCCTAAGAATAACACACAACTACTTATAGTTCAATGTGCGAATATTATTTGTGTGCGACAGGATAATAACAGGAAACTTCAGATATCCACTTCATCATCCTCAGAGGTGTTAATGTAATACGCTGTTTGAGTTGCACAATACACATGCGACTCTTTAGCCTGAAGGTAAGGTGTTGTGGTGCACAATGTGGAGAGGAAAAAAAACACCAGTCTTTCTCGTCTCTTGTGCCTGGAAGTGATGCCATTCTGTGGTTTTAACACTCTGCCAAACCACTGTGCACTTGTTTCACCAGCGATATCATCTAACCTAGCAACTCTTAACTGGATTGTGTGCAAAGGCCCCAGTGTGTTATGAGAAAGACATACCCTATTCAGTGGACAAAGGCCTTATTCAGGTGCCGTGGTATTCTGGATAGCTCCAGGCCTCACCTCGCAAACGGGGACTGCAAGGCTAACATTTCACTTTCTCTTAGCCACGGGGAAAAGGTCAATACCCCAGGGGGAGGGCTGGCTCCCCTCTCTTCTCTCCTGCACCGCCACCACTCATCCACCTCAACAAATGTGGTTGACTCCAGTTATAGAGTGATCTCACAGTAGGAGTAATGCGCGCGCACACAAAGCAATAAAACCCCTACGTCCTACATTCATAATCACAGTAAAATGAGAGCTGAGTGTGTGACCTCTTACTTTCCGTTAATCTGCTTGATGATATTCCATTAGCAAGCAACGTGCTGGATTTTCAGAGCGTCTTTTATGCCTTTTGTCCAACCAAAACATCTCATTCATTGGAGGAAATATAACTGGAACTGTGCGCACAGAAAACTGCATGTCATGTAATGATCATAAAAACTGATATACTGCAAGTAGCCTTGTTTTGCAGCTTGACCTTATTTAAACAGCAGAGTAGGGAACTTACAGAGGTGATGAAATGTGTCATATGGAAAAGAAGTGTTATTCTTAAGTGTACAGCACAACATATTTTAAAAGTTTTGTATTTTGACTGGATCAGGTAACTTTTTGCTTCGTTTCTGAGCTTGTTTATTTATTAAATAAACTGCTGTAAACTGGGTTTTAAAACCTGCACACAGGCCATGATTGAGCCAAATGGCCTGTTTTTAAGCTAAAGCTTACTAGTCCTTAAGTGAATGTTGATAGTTGGCGTGTGTCGTGTTTTTGGCGTCCTGCCGACTTACGGAACATGGTGTTGAACTGCTGCGGGTTGAGGTTCCACTTGCCCCAGGGGGTCTTGTGACCTTTGGACTGGGCGTAGTGGGCGTGGTTGAACTCTGGCTCTGTCCCGAACGAATCCAGCACCCGCAGCATACACCTACAATGCCACACAGAGAAACACAAGCGTGTTAATGGCTGCTCCATGCCATAAGGACAGATGCATGTGTGATATGTTGCTTAACTGTATATTTCAATGAAGTTTGCTTTGAATCTTGATTGCTTTGTGAAATCAATGAAACCCAGAAGTACCATCATAAATCATGTCAACATTATCAGTGTTATATTATGTGCTACAAGAAAAACTGTTCACACCTTGTGCCCACAATTACAGTTAAAGAGCTAAAGCAAACCACTACATGGTGCTTTTTCCACAATATTCTCCAATCTGTCTTCACAGCACTCCAAGAAACAAGAATGTGGTTACTTAGTTTTACACCCATTTAAACCACACTAGCCCGAAGACCTAGAAAAGTAAGTAAGTAACCAGTTCCAAGTAAGATAGTAGTGTGCAACAGCTACCAGGCAATTGCAAAAGAAATAAACATTAAGGTTTTTACAACAGCTAAAAGGTGAGATGTGCATGTCATTTCTTGCTGTAGAAGACGTGTTATATGGTTTTATTTTCCCAACTGAGGTTTGGTAGCTTGTGACTACATCTGAAAATATGTTGTTACGTACTTTTGTCAGTTATGTGAGTTATAAGAAATAGAAAAATGAAAAGCAGTGCCTACAAAACTACAAATGAGGCTTGAACTTTTTAGTTGGAACATTTTGAAATAACAGACAAAAAGGCTTCTTTTGTTTTATGAGTTATGTTTTACATTATGTTATGTTTCCGTTCTAATTTGTTTCTGTGTAAATATGTTTTACATTAATTTGTTTGTTTCAGGAATCATGTACAGTACATGGTCTGCAGTAATGATTTGTGTTTCACTTGGAACATGAATGTCCACGACTGGGAGTCTTTACATGTGTGATGGACCATTTTAATGGTATGAAACTGAAATTATTCATTTAATTGTTATTCTTGTAAGATCAATGTTGAAGGCATGTGTTTTCAGTTATGACTAGTTAACAAAATCAAATACACTATACCAACATAATGTCCTTCACATAAAAACTAAGCAGCTCCATATGGGATGATGAAACCACAAAAGTAACGCCTCCATTCTCAAACTAGGAGTGAAATCCTGTCCTGTGGAGGTGTGAGACTGTGAAAGGACATCATGGCTGACTCAAAGGTCACAGCACCGGCTTAATTAGACCACAACCAGGAGAGGGAATGGTATATAAGCAGAGAACCATTCGCTCATGACCTTAAACTCCATGTGCTCCATTCACTCGCTCATTGTTACTCACTTCTCCTTCCTAGATGCTGATTTGCTCACGTCTGGTCTGCCCTTTCCTTTGCTATCTATATTTTTCCATTAGGAGGGCAAACGGCCAATGAAAGAAATCTTTTGTCTTGGACACAAAAGGACTAAATCTGTCTCTCCCTCTCACGCTATTAATCTATTTTTCATATAAACTGCCTCCTTCTAACTCATCTTGACTGCAACAAAATACTAAACTGGTGAGCCTCTTGTTTTGGCCATCTTGAGCCTTGTGGGTAAATAAAATGAAGTGACTCCCATTTTGCGTCAAGGTAGAATAGCTGCATTAATCATAATAGCGAAAAGAACGAAGCCAGAACGCAACAACATAGAGCCGTCTGCACCTAAAAATTCTCTTTCTTTCAGTGATGGTGCCTCCGCCCAGGCAGATGCTGCGCAGCTGGCTGTGTGAACTGTGAAAGTCCCTGGGAGAGAGCGGAGAGCTGGGAAACACATTCACCACGAGGAAACTTTCGACTGAAAGCACGACAACAACATGCCCACATGCCATCTCCACTCGCTCCGCAGAAAAACAACCTTCGTCTGTCCCCAGTAGATATATCCTCAACAGATGGGGGAAGAGTTGTTGAAGCCATAACATGATGTAAATATAGCTGCAGTGGGGCTTTCAGCACATATTCCAAGTCCAGTGAGATGACAGTGGGCGTTGTAATGTGGCAGGAGTTGAGGCTGTTCAGCTCAACAAGTATGCACTTAGTAACACTGAAATATCACAATAGAGCTGGGCTGAGAAGAGACGTTGAAATCAAAGTAAGTGTAATTTCACTGGAACGTAATCCACCTGAAGTGATCCCAAATGGATAGTGTATGATGGCTATTGTAAATGATAGGTCTCTCTCCCGCCGTGATCATCTCCCATGTGAAATCAGCAACAAATATAATGCTTCCATATGGGTCATTATTAAACAATGATATCAGATGGAAATTAATGTTTTATATGAATCTACCTGAGGCTCTGTCACATGTCTGCACACCCCTGAGGCTAAACCCAACAGCTGTTTGATAAACAGACATACGAGTTAATGGTCTGTCTCATAAAAGCATTAGGTTGAATTATACCCAACATATGGGTTTGGTTAGAAAAAAACTTTATGGGAACAGCATGGAGCTATGAAAGATAATATGTTATTGATTTTCTTACTGGGATTGTCATCCAGCTCATAACATCTGATCATTTTTAGTTACTTTTGGATTGCAATTCCTCCTTGTGAACCATAAATATCCCCTTTTATTGGCAATGTGTTCTACTTAACGGACTTTAACCTGAATTGTGTTGTTATCCTTTATTAACGAGCAATAAATTAACACCTATAAAACTTGATAAGCTTACAGACAACCTCTCTCCTTCCAACATGTGTGTTCACTAAACCCCTCCCCTGAACAGCGACTGTTAAATCGCCTGCGGCAGCATAAGCAACAGGCATTAACATGGCTGACTAACTACTTAGGTACGGTAGTAACTTAGCATTACTTCCAAGGCCAAAAGTTGGCATACCATTTGCCAACTACATAGACGTTATTGGAAAAAGGCCCTTTCGGGATGGACACATCTACTGGTTGGAGGGAAGTGTCACACCGGCCCCAGATGGCACTAAGTATACCAGAGTTTAGAGTTAGAAACTCTGCCATGCTCTGTATTGGATTTGGGAGAGTTTACTTCAAATAACTTGACAAACTCAGACTGCCCTCATCCTCAAGTCCTCATTTAAACTGCAAAACACTAAGCATTATTCTAAACTTTGTTTCTTTTGTCCAAGTAATTCATTTTGCAAAATTGCACTTGACTAGTGCAGGAACAGTTACTACTGGCAGTGGGACTAAGTGAAAGGTACTTAAACAGTCATTAAAACATACTGGCTCTCACATGTTACCACTATATGATGTGCCAAGTTGTTATCAACAAAAGTCAGTGACATGAATCACACATACAGACGGTGTCGTGTAAAGTTCTTGGCAAGAGAAAAAAAAAAGCCAGGAGACACAAAGCGGTAAAGGAGGGAGAAGCAAAATGATGAAATCAAACTTGTGCAAAGCACGCAGTTGATGACTAACTTTTCATTTGTCCAGTTTCACTTCTGCATTATTGTCATTAACACTAAACATACAAACTGCTTTACACTGGCACATTCTCTGCAGCCTTGCCGATGCACAGATGCACACAGTGCATTGACCGATTAGGTTATTGGTTAAAAAGATTAAATGAAATTGAACAATAGGGCAACACTGGCTCTAGTTTATACAGAGAAAACAACAGCTCAGAGTATTCCCATTCCTCTGGAGTAGTATGAAACACAGCGATACGGCACTGTAAGACAGATAGCCAGAAGACTGGGGCAATAACAAAACACATTAATCACAAACAGGCCTGACAGACGTGGTTGCTTTGTCCCAAAACACAAAACATAAACCAGAAAAAAGGGAACAATAATGACAACAGTTTGATATCCAAACAAGTCTGGCATGTTCTCTCCATAGGATATCTTTCTCCCTGCCTTTCTGTATCACAAAGTAAAGAGAAGATTGTGATGGTTTCACAAAGGGATTCTAAGGCCACAAAGGCACAGAAGGTAATTCACTTACAGGAGACCGCAAAGTAGAAGACACTTTGGCAGAAAGGTAAATGTCTATGTTACATTTAGTAAAAGAAGAAAGAGCACAGGAAAACCTTCAGTCTAGGCCCACTTTCACAAAGCTCTTTGAACACACACAGTGACATTAAGTGCTCTGACATAAGTGTTCAATAATGGTAGGAGAAATAATGCAGAGAATAGCATCTGGACCTTACATTATGCCTCAGGCTGAATCAATTTCCTCAGGGCACAAAGGGAGCGGATGCAGTTTAAGGTGTTATGTCGCAGACAAACAAAACCTGGTGACAAGCAGGAGGAACCAGCGGGGCTATTAGTGCCCCCAGACTTATTGTTCCTTCTCTTTTCCTGTCAGTTGGAGCTGATGAGAGTTTCTTCAAAACAAACCAAGAGAGCCTCATCTACAGTCCTCAGCGGAGCAATCGGAGACAGAATAGACTCAGTGGGTGAAAACATCATGAACAACAGACGCTACTGCATCCTTTTGGGAAATTGTGGCAACGTATGAGCAGAAAATAGACTCATTGTCCCACCATTAGCCCGACAAGCCTCAACCCTGTGCCCTTTGCACATGAGAGAAGCCGTTAAACAACAGTTGGCAGTGGCAGCAGAAGGTTAGAGAACTGTACAAAGTGGCTGACATGATGATTTGAATACACTGAAAGAGTGAAGTCTTGCTGAAACACAAAGGTTACAGTGCAAGATAATTTACCACCAAAGGCTCAAGCAGAGCTGCTGGTAGAAAACTGGGGTTGTACTAGGAAGCTGCCCAGTATGAAAGCATGCTGGGGTTATGAAAGAGACAGTGCATGCTCAGCAAAAACCCCCTGTATAAATAAAGTTACCAACTAAAAATCTAATTACAGCAGCCACTAATTTCGCATTGTGTTGATTTGGCAGGGTCTACAACTGTCTAACAGCAAGTGGTTTAGTCACTAATGAAATCAGATCCTTGACAGAATTTACAACCTGAAAATGTTTCTTACCAAATAGACCTTGAGAATGGTTTGACTGAAATTACCAAATAGAGTAAAACAGTAATATTGCTTCCTATATTGGATAATTAGATTTTGCACTGTAGGTGTGTATTTTAAATATAAGTATCTTTCTATGAAACACATAACACATAAATAGTCATGACCAAATAAGAAAACAAAATTTAAAGTTAGGAATAAAAGATAAATGTACTTACTGGTAGTGGACCCAGGAAGGTCCCAGCGTCTTCTTAAACTGGGTGAGGCCCACAATGTCAATGTAGATGAGCTCAACCACTTTGTCACCCTGCGTCGGGCAACTGGACTTGTTCCCCATGACCCTGCGCATGATCCTGGGGAGAAAAGTTTGGAATTACAATCAACTTTAAATCCAAAAATGTCAAAAAAGGATTAAAAATGTCTGCTGCTGTTGGTTATTTTTTTCTCCAACAGTTGGATACCTACATGGCTTAAACTGTCAATTTTGCTCACTCTAATAGTACATGAAAATTTAGACTTTTGAATATATAGTATATACATATTTCAAAACTAAACATACAAAAAGAAGAAATACTGGTATTTCCAACCCCAGACCTGAGGGAATGTGCTGAATCATGGTCATACTAACAGGACAGGTTTAAACCACTGGCATAGCTGAACAAGAGATACCAATCTACAAAGCTACAGAGCAGTGGAAACATATCTGTACAGACGTGGGTTGAACATTACGTAACAAGATGTGTGCTTGTGCTAATACTTATAACCCATGACCTTACATAATGAACTTATATATTTACTTACTGTGCATTTGTGCTTAATCAAGGAGGTAAAGATAAATATCATCCTTGACATAGTGAGGATGGTAAAGGCGGCTAAAGCCATGTCAAATAGTATGGACCCACTAGAGGAGGCGAGTTAGCAGGCCAAAATCCCCCAACAAATATTAGTCAGGAGCTTCCTTTATTTACCCTCAGTCAAATCACCTTAAGCAAATAGTGAGACGTGGTTTACCTATATAAAAATGTGCTAATCAAAAAGGTGCTTTGACTTTTGAGGCCCTATACATTTATAGCTTCATTTACATCGCACAGCACAAACAACAAAAACGTAGTCAACCTTTCCTTCCCTATGGATTATTTTCTGTATCTGACCTAAGGCATCTGTTGTACAGATGTACATCTGGACACACAAAAATCATTAATATTGACTCGGGCTGTGTTTGGCTGACTTAGCATTGCACTCCTATAATGTCGTCAGACTCAAAGACAGTTGGAAAAAAACAAAATCGAAATCGATGCAGCAGGGATGAGGAATCAGCTTCAGAGCTCTGGTAAGCTCACTCCTTCACAACTCTACACCCCCAGATTCTCAACCTCAACTACCTCAAGTCAAATCACTTTAGGCTATTTATCATGACTTACATATGACCTTTGTCTACTTTGACAAACACTAAGGAAAGTTGGAACTTTTGAAGTACATATCATATCATATATTATCTCCTGCAGTCCCAGTCCTGGGGAAGTTGTAAGACAGCTACATTTTCTTAATATATAGTAGAAGTGCACCTAAATTGTCTATTTGGGTGCACTTAAGGAATATAATACTCCTTGTGTTTGCTACTTACTCTTTGAGCTCGGCCAGGGAGGCTGAGATGCGAACATCATGGCCCAGCAGGTACAGGGTGGTTATGAGGTCACTCCATTGGACCAACTCGCCCAATGGGCCACCACTGAAGGCGTTTTCTGCTATTTTGAAGCCAGACTCCTTGGTCAGCAGACCCAAGTGTACCAGGATCTGATGAAAGGGAAACAAGTATGGAATTAAATAAGTGTCACTACCGTTATATATATTTTCAAGAATACCACCATTTACAGTCTGTTCTTACACAGATTATTGTGCAAAGAATTCAAGGAAACACTTGATATGAATGGTGCTCATTTGATACGAGTTTCTATGGGAAGACATATTGTTCAGCAAGGCTAGTGCAACAGAAGTTAGCTTGAAAAATGCTACATTTACCATGAGGGATTTTGAAGTGTGAATATATAATGTAATAGATCATCTGGGCACTTTTATTTCCCTGCACAGATGAATGTAGAGAAAGAACGCAGAAAAATGGTGGATAAATAATTCAAAGACACCCCATTGTCTTCCTATTTGAAAAGATTCAAATGGGGAGCGTAAAAAAACATATTTATCTTAGTAGGAGACCGCGAAAGCAGTTTCACTTTTTCCCCTGTTTGCCGTCAGGCTCACCGTGCGCATGCTGAGAAAAACACATGCAATTTCACTCACACACAGCCACACACATCACACAACACACACACACACACACACAAACACACACACACACACACACACACACACACACACACACACACACACACACGATGATTTTCAGTAGCTGAGGGGAACACAGTGTTCCACAGCAGGAGTGGGAAGTAATAGCAAGCTTTGTTTGAAGTGACCGACGCATTTTTCATTGTTGACAGCCAGCCCCAGTCCCAGAGCACACTAGTCAAGGATTAATATGTGCGGATTAATATCCAAAACAGATTAGTGGCTGAAATAAAGAACTGGCTTTGGAAGTATGTGGACTAAGAGAGTAAAACGCTCTTTGTTTAATTATTGACTGAACAGATTAAACTGAGAAACGGAAAAGTAAGCAAGGATAGGTAAGACACCATAGATAGATAAGAGGGATAGATAGATAGATGAGGGCTCTTGTTTCTTCTATTCTCTGCTTTGCTAAAGGGGATGCTGCTTTGCATCAGCACCAAGGTATCATGGGAATGTGATGTGAATTATTCACAAGGCCAGTGGAAAGTGTGGAGGTAGTACATTATTCAGTGCTGGGAGCTACCAGCTTGGGACACAATGGAATATCCATGTCGGTCCCTTCCCACCACCATTTTTCCCCCCAGCAGCAGTCTACAAGTGTGAAAAAGTGTGTATGAGAGTGTGTGCGTATAGCTAGTGTATGTATTTCAACAGGCTGAAAGCTAAAAGGGAGGTGTTTTCATAAAGTTCTTGACAGGATAATCTCTCTCTCACTTTTGGGAGGAAAAACATTCAAATTTAACCTAAAAACGTTATTAATATTTATTTGTTCAACAATATGTGAAAGTATTCTCCCAAATAAGTTATCTAAATGTGAAATTATGCTCATATCTACGGCTAGTTAACGTATTAATGTGTTGATTTTGTATGGAATTCTGTCAAAAACTGATCTATTAATTAAACCTTGAGTATATCCAGCTCATTAAAGCTTTTCATTCTAAAAACTGTCTAGTTTTTTCTGAAAAAATGCTCTGGCGTAGTGGAATTGACAAATTTGATCTGATGTTTCAGGAGGCAATAGTTTGTTTGGAATAAATTGCAAAACATGAACATGAATACAACCTGAAACTTAAGGGGAAAACAACAAGATGTGTAGTGATCTGTGATGAGCAGCATCTAAAGATTTTGCCACCAGAAATGTCAACGAAATGCCACCCAGCAATGCAGCTAGAAGACCATCCCTTCACCTGACAGGCAGTGAATCTCACTTCATTACTAAGTGTACTATGATGTATCGTATGTATTATGCCCACCTTCTTCCTGCGACGCCGGGCCAGGTTCTGCTTGGCAGCCAGAGAGCGGATGGCGCTGACCCACGGCTCAGCCATGCGTTTGATCCTCAGCATCATCCAGCGGAACTCCTCACGTTGTGACATCACGCGGTAAAGCTCGTCGAAGCTGGTCTGGATCTCCGCCTGCACATACCGAGACAGTCAGTACGATCCAATACAGTTAGTGTATACTGTACAGTATATGTTCCTTCATGTGTAGGCCACATAATGTTAGGAGGAAGCCATTTATTTCAAAGCTGTAAATCAAATCTAATCTAACATTATGTTCAATTTGTTATCCTGTTGCTTGCTGTATTATCTTTAAAAAAATAAAGTGTTTCTTTCAAGTGCTTTTATCCTTCTTTCTGCTGCTGCCGTGACATAATCCCATGGGGATCTTTCAAAATGTATCCAATCTAATTTCAAATTGCAATATTGACGACTGCACTTTACAAATGGCTAACGGACTGTTTTCTTGCAGGGAGACCCTTCTGGAAGAGCTGTAATAAGCCCCTGCTCAAAATCAAACACTGCAAGGTGTTTATCTAAACTGCCTAAATCTTATGTTTTACCACCTTAGTTTAAGATTATGGATTAAATAGTCAGAGATAGGAGAGCAGGGATGGGTTAAAGTAAAATTACTAAATGAATCAATGTTCATTTTTGACAAGAAATCTCTCTATAATCACTGAAGCTGGAGTTCAAGGGATAATTGAAGTGATAATAACCATCATAAACTGTCAGAGACATGTGCAGATGAAACTATTCATTGAGGGCACACAGATATATGACAACGCATGTTTGAGATCTCTCCTGATAGCAAGACATCAAAGAAACTGTACCATTAAAAAAAAATAACTGACAATACAGAAAGGCACCGTATTTATCTCCGCTCATCCGATGCCAACCTCCTGACTCCACCACCCAGGACCCATCACCGAATCTGGGGCGACAGAGCTTTTTCTGTAGCCGCCCCCTCCATCTGAAACACTCTCCCCAAACCCATCTGTGACTGCACCAACCTTCCAACATTTAATTCTCTGACAAAAACTCACCTATTTAAAATTGCTTTTAATGTTTAGCATAGATTGATGTGTTTTACTATTTGATGTTGTTTTGCTGTTTTTATGTAAAGTGTCTTTGAGTATCTAGAAAAGGGCTTATAAATAAAATGTATTATTTATTATTATTATTATTATTATTATTATTATTATAATTATATAGCAGATAAATTAATACATTAATAGATACATTAACTATGGTGGCCGGGACCCCATCGCTGCACATAAAAGAAACGCTGCAAATAAAAGAAATGCTGCAAATAAAAAGAAACGCTGCTGCAAATAAAACAACAACAATGATGCAAATAAAAAAAGCCACAACGGAAGTGAATTACTGGGGACTATTATTGCTGGTGCACCGGTGTGAAGATACGGAGCCCCATAGGGAAAAAAAAAATAATAATTAACGTTTCTCATGAGCACGAGATACTTTCTTGTGAGCACCAGAAATTCAACAATAAAAGTCCATATTTGTACAACCAACAACCGACGTTAGCTAACGTTACGTTCTCTGTCACTGAGAGTTTGATTGACAGCCTGGTGGTAGCAACTGCATGAGAGCCTGTTGTGGCCAATCAACACATGGCTCATTTGAATATTAAAATTAGCCATGTGTTGATAGGTCAGACAAAATTGTAACCAATGAAATTACTTATTTTGACACAGCTTTTTTGACACACATTTTAGCCAACAAGTATTAAACTAACAAGGTAATGTGTCAAAAGGCAGACTTTTTTCTTTTTTGTTATTTTCTCAAAAGGAGGACAAATGAGTGTCTGGCTTAAGGCTGCGCCTGCAGCCGGACAGGGCATTTAAAAGCCGGATGAATGGCCACCCTAGTAACGGCTGGATTGACCGCAGTTAATGAGCCTAGGCATAAGCTAACTGCCTGTACTTAAGCTAAGGTTTCTGGTGAGCACAAGAAACTATCTTGTGCTCACGAGAAACGTTTAATTTTTTCTTTTTTTCCCAATGGGGCCCTGTATCTTCACACCGGTGCACCGGCAATAATAGTCCCCGGTAATTCACTTCCGTTGTGGCTTGTCTCGGCCACTGTAATTAACAGATACATTAACAGATACATTAATAGATAACAGATGCATTATTCAAACACATTGATGTCTTTTTTAAAATCACATTACTGATAATTTTTTCAACTTCTTGTTTGATCACAGAACAGTACTTCATCCCAGTCAGCTGTTTCCTGCTCTTTAACCTGTGTGACTGGGGTGGGCGGAGCTTAACAGCTGTCTGTATGTGGGTGAGTTTAAATCAAAAATCCAATATTAATCAATAAACAATAAATAGATCTTGGATCAGTTTTAATGATCCACAAAGACACCAACACATTAACAAGTCCTCCTCTGTGTGCACGCGGTTCAGACAGCCTGTCTCCACCCAGCTGAAGGACAAACAACAGCAAAATGTATTAACTTATCAGTTATTGTCTCTGTTTCCAGCCAGGGAAGGACAGCCTGTTACTTCCGGTGTTCATCGTGTGCCGTGTTGTCTTCGTCCCGCTCTTCATGTTGTGTAACGTCCAGCCTCGTGTCCATCTGCCCATCTTCTTCCATCATGACAGCTGGTTCATCTTCTTCATGATCCTCTTTGCCTTCAGTAACGGATACCTGGCTAGCCTCTGCATGTGCTTCGGACCAAAGTAAGGAACTGACACAAAATTACATACACCTAAATGCACCAAATAAAACTATATTTTTGGCATTTATTTATTTTGATATATATTGATATATTGTATAATACCCTAAAGCAATAAATGTTACCAGTTGATTTCTAATGAACCAGATAATAATTAATAAATATCTCTGGTTGTTCTACAGGAATGTTCTTCCTCATGAAGCAGAAACAGCTGGAGCCATCATGGCTTTCTTTCTGTCTCTGGGGTTGGCTTTAGGAGCTGCTCTGTCCTTCATCTTCAGAGCACTGGTTTAACTGGAAAATGCATCTTAACTACTGGCTCAACTGGAAACGGCATATTAACTACTGGTCTAATTGGAATACTACCTATTTACTACTGGATTAACTGGTTTACAGACTGTTTGTTACTGGTCTGACTGGTAGAAAAGGTTTTATTAAAAAAATTCTGTTCAGAGTTTGGATTTAAAGTTCTAGCTGACCGTCAGATATTTTTTAAATGAACTTGTAATCAAATTGTGCAGCTCAACAACCACAGTTAACATTTTTTCCTGACTGTGGTACTACAGGAATTCTCATCAGGAATGTAAATATACAGTTTTGATCATGTCTGTCTGTTAAAGACATCTTCAGATCTTGAGACCTCTGACAAAGACTGGTGGAGGAGAAAGTACACATCTGATATGTATACACATATCTACAGTATACATCTGTAATATTTATAAAAAATATAATTCATATTATAACATATGCATATAATTAAAGCTGCAAGCAGCGATGAACGCACCCTCACAGTACGTGTGCATCTGGGCGTGGTGTGGCCTGGTTACCAAGCTTGAAAATTTCATATAAATCAGATGGTGAACCACCAGAGAAGGCTTACCTCCTTTTTTCCAGTAGGTGCTATGACTATGACTAAATATTGGCATTCAGCTGTGTTTGGAGAGGGACTCTTATCAAACGTGATGTTTGTAGCAGATTAGATGATATACACGCAATCATTCACTCTAAAGACGTTAAATTTTCAACATCTTTAGAGTGCACTGACCAAACTTGAAGTTGCTCCATTAAATTCTCTAGGAGAAGTACAACACCTGGAAATAGCACCGAAATTGGTATGAAATTTTAGTACATTTGGACATTACAGTTGTGCCTATTCATTTTTGTATATCTAAGTGAAACCTATTGCAAAGGCTGCTTCATTTAAATTTTCTAGGGGGCACTATGTAGCCATTTTGCCACATCCATGAACAATGAATGGACTGATATAAAATTAAAAAGTTTGTCACTTGTTACGTGTGCTGAGTTTCATTAGTTTTGGACCATGTTTAGCCCCCCAAAAATGTGATAATGTTAAAATTGAAATGTATTGAACACAGCATTAGTTCAGGCAGGCCACAATGCCAGGCTCAGCTCTCAGTTCTAGCTACATAAGTTGATTACAGCTGAGCATAAACACTTACCTGATGGCTTAGTTGATTACCTTTAAACATCCAATTGCCAAATGTCATTTAGGGCACCTCTTTCAAGCTGCTATAGCCGGCCTACCTTTGCTGCTTACTCTGCAAGCTGCTTTGCAACCCAGCTCCACCCCAGCTAATCCTTTATGGTGTATCTGATTTAATTAATGTCATTTCTGTTACCATTGATGCTTGCTCTGTTCTCTATTTGGGGGGTCTTCGCTGCTGCTTGATTTCGTCTGAAGCTTTTCATGTATGCACATAGAAGAGCAGGTGTGCTCTCCCTGCCTTAGGTTTTCTGTGTGCATGTGGAGAGGCAAGGAGGTCCCAGAACAAAGCCATACTGCCAAATATAACATTCTGAATTTGGAAATAAGTTTTTTTTTTTTTTTTTTTACAAAAGTGGTCCTGGCTGAACTACATTGGGGAGCTATGAGTATGACTGAATATTGGCATGTAGTGTTCAGGTCCTTATTAAACATGTGAAGTTTGGTTTGTGAAGTACACTGGTTATTGCAATGACCTATTGACATTTTTAAATTCACCAAGACTAACAGGCCGGGGTGGGGGTATTGCAGCTGTCTTTAAAAACATTTTACTTGTATTCCAC